CCCGTCGGCACTGCCCTGCGGCCGGGTCACCGCTGTCTCGGCAGGACGCAAGGTGGGTTGTCAGGCGCCGCCCCGTCTGGGCTGCGGCGCGCGATCTACGTGCATAGCACGCTGCGCCCGAGTACCGATTTCCAGCCGTGGCGACGAGGTACGCTTGGGGTGTCCGCGTGGGAGCCCCTCCGTTCCACTGTCCTTCCGCGGCGGCGAGGGGGACACTCCCCACGCTCGCCGCAGCCCTAGTGCCACCACTCGCCCTGGCAGAGGCGTCGCCGAATAAGAGTCAGAGGGCAGGCGCGCGCCCTTCCTGAGCCCAGCGGGACCCCAGAGGAAGGGGGGGGCCCAGCTGACCGCCGGGTTCGGGACGGCGCAGCTGTGGTGTAGGTGGTCCCTGCACAGGGTTCGTTTGTCCACTTTGGGGGCACCTTATTGTCTCGTGTCGAGTGCAAGCAGCCGTGGCTGGGGGGAAGTTGGCGGTCCCCGTAGTCAGCCCCTTCTGCTTCTCGTCTCTTCTGCCGGGGGGGGGCTCATGGTCTGGGGTTGGACCAGGGGGGACACCGAATATCGGTGTCCCGACGGTGAGTACTGGCGCCCTCTCCGCAGCCTGGCGCGCACCCAGTGAAGGAAGCACCCCGGCGCGCGGAGTGCGTGCTGACACCCGAGGGGAGACGGGACCGGGGGGGGCACCGCATAGGTGTCGGGAGCCTCGAGACGGGGGTCAGTGCAAATGGGGGTCAGCCAGGGCACCGGATCCTGCAGGATCTTGCGAAGACCCCCTCTGGCTGACCCGGGTTAGGGAGCCGCTCGTGGCCGCGAGGGGGCCGCGCGTATTGACCGACCCGGGTTTGCGAAGACTTGCGTTGCAGTTTTTTTTTTTTGTTCCTGCATTGCAGTTTTTGGTTTGGGGCACCGCGTAGGTGTGCCAGTCGGAAGTGCTGGCGCCCTCCGCGCGGCCTGGGGCGCATCCAGTGCGGGAAGCACCCTCGGCGCGCGGAGGGCCTGCTGACACCCGAGTTGGGGGGAGCGTAAGACCTGGGTTTGCCAGGACTCGGGTTCGCCATCGTTTTTTGACGACCGCGCCTCGGATTTTGACGAGGAGGAGTTTCGTGGGATGTCTGCAGCGGGAGGCCTCGTGGCGATCTTAGCGGGAGTATGTAACCTAGCTGGCTTCCGGCTTGGAGGTAATCAGAAAAAAAACAACCTCGGCGCGCGGAGGGCGTGCTGACACCTGAGTTGGGGGGAGGGGCGCTGGCCGTCCCCCGTGCCCCTCCTCCTCCTCCTCCTCCTCCTCCTCCTCCTCCTCCTCCTCCTCCTCCTCCTCCTCCTCCTCCTACTCCTCCTACTCCTCCACAGCGACAGCCCCCTCTCCGTCGGGGGGGCAAGGCGGGGAAGCCGGACCAGGACGGGGAGATCCAGGCACCCCGGGGAGGCTCTCGTAAAACGACGCGAAGATCGGGGCAACATCGGATCGGGCTAGCTCGAAATCTCTGAGAATCGGCGGGTCTGGAGGGTGTATTGGGCGCCGCGGCCGCTCCAGAGCGTTCAGGAACGCTCTGAGAGCGCTCCAGAACGCTCTGGGGCGATTTATCCCGATCCTAGCCCTGTTTTACAAGGCGGGGAAGCCGGACCAGGACGGAGATGCAGGCACCCCGGGGAGGCTCTCGGCGAGGTGCGTCGCAGCGAAGGAGGTCTGTCGACTGGGGCCCCCGGGCGCTGCCCTCAGCCTTGACCTCGGCAGGGCCCCAGTGGTCCTTTTGCTCTTCCCCGGCGTCGCAGGACGCCAGCACCTGGAAGCCGCCGTCACCTGCGGCGGCAGCGGAACGACTCGCCAGGCGTGCCGTACGCCACGATCTGCGCCCAGTCTGCCACGGAAACCTGGGGGAGCGTCGCCAGCCCGTTCGGGATGTCCGCAATCTGGGAGATCGCCCCGAGCCCCTCCAGGATGTCCACGAGCTTCAGGCCCGCAGGAGGCGACGAGGCGCCGGGCGGTATGCCGGTGGTTTCGGGCGTGGTGTAGCCGATCGTCGCCAGTGCGCTCACCCCGTGCGTGATCTCCGTCTGGCGTGCGAAGTTCTCCGTGCGGATCATCCGCAGTGAGGCCAGCGGGATCCAAGAAACCGAACGGGCCCTGCACGCCCAGCTCAACCTCGACCGTGTGCGGCGGAACGCCTCTGTAGAGCGCCCACTCGGCCCGCGTGGGGCCAGTAAAACCGTCGTGGAAGAGCATTCCGATGATCGCCATCGTGGCCAGACGGCAGTCGGAGATCTCAGCCGCCAAGTTCGTCTGCTTGTCCCCGGTGTCGCTGGGCATCAGCGCCTTGGAGCCGAAATTACCCCCCCGCGGCAGGGGTGCCAGCGGACTCGTCCTGGGACAGCTCGCGGAGGGCGTCGCAGGCCAACGTGTCCAGGATGTGCACGCGCTGCGTGCCAGCGCAAAGTGACGGGTCACCTGGCAGGATGCCGCTGTACCCTGGGATGATATAGCCCACCGTCGCCTGCATGTTGTTGTTGTTGTTGTTGTTGTTGTTGGGGGGTATGCACGCCCGGACGGCGGCCCCC